GTTTTTGTTAAATGTTATATGTAAATTGAGATACTTTTTATTTATTTAGACTTAATTTTGTCTTTTTCATTTCATATTAATTTCAATTTATAGAGTTGGATTTCTCATTTGTCGATTGCATTTGTTTGATTTTGATTCAATATTCAACTAATATTTCCTTTGTTCAAAATGTTACTACGATTTTGTTCAATCCCACCATTCTCAAATTCATTTTTTTAAAGTTTTATTTTGTCAATGTTTTAGTTCTTCCCCAATTTTTAAATCTGTGTTAAAACTTATCAGATTTAAGGCATCAAACGTTCATTATCCCAATACCTAGTTTACGATCAATGTAAATATCGCTGGTTTTCAGTTTTGTTATCATGTTCTCGTGTTTAATTAATTAAAAGCGATTAAATCATGAATCAAACACCTGACTGCCCGTGGCATTAAACACAAATATATAATGGATTCTTGACGTTGAACTATTGAACTTACGTGTATGAAAGTATTATCTCTTTGTCTCTGGATTGATTTCTTGTAAAATTAACCAAACCTAATTATAACCATTCAAATGTTTGCAAACGTCGACGATGCAGAACACACAACAATACAGAAAAAGCAGCAGTGTCCATCCAGATATGAAATAAACACTGTTGGCTCTAAAGAACATTGTATTGCTCACCTGGAACTTTAAGCATCTTCAACAATAGTAACTCTATAACATTATAGATTAGAATATATATTTTACATTCTCCTTTTTCTGATCATTTTAGTTGTTTACTGTTTCTATCTTCTAAAGTTTATTTTGAAAATTGCAACAGCAAAACAATGGGTACAAAATCGTCATTTAAGAGCAACAACTCCCTATAGGGATATATTTCAGCTATGTGACTTATTCGCATATCTTGTCTTTCTGATCATTTTGAGAATTTATTTTTAGCTACTACAGTTTTGCCTAAAAAGTTAAAACTTAGTAAAGATCCATGATTAAGGACAATAGCTCCTATAAAGAGCTGAGTGATAATTTCGCCCATTTTGACTTATTAATCAATATTTTCTTGCTAATTAATTAATTAATTCTCAAGATGATACATGTATGCAATCACGCATCAAATAGCTGATATGAGGCTTTAAGGGCAATAATTTCTATTATGAATCGACTTACGACTTAAACCGTGTTGTTTCATGTGTACACCTTGCCTTTTTATCACTTTACCTTTTTACAGTTTCTGTCTCTCTGTTACTCTTATAGAAAAAAAATCAACAATAACAATGTGAAAAATCGTCACTTATGGGGAATTACTCCTAAGAGAAGTCGTCGTACAGTTTTTGGTACAAATGGGCGGTAGGTAGAAATTATCATTATGAAAATCTCTTCCCCTGTCTGATTATTTATAACAGTTTACAAGACAATAGACAAAATACTTGCATTTAACCACTTATGTTCTATTGTGAGCCGTTTTTAGCCGTGTTGGCCATGTTGGTTGGTAAGCTTGCTCACCAGACACATTCTTTAAAAAGATAACACAAGGATACTTTAAATGTTAACGGACGAAGAACGACAGACGACGGACGCCAAGTGAAAGCAAAAAAACATACCGGGCATTTGATCAAATTGAGCCAAAAACAGCACTGACTGCCTAGTGGTGATAAACAGCAGAGGTGCCGACCCAGCGGTCACTTATAAACACTTATCATTATATGTTTGAAAATTTTAAGGCTGCACAGTTTTTTTTTTCGCCGAACGTATTGATATATTTGTTCAAACCCGTTATTCATTTTAAAAAATTGAAAATAATTATTATTGGGATCTATTTTTAAACAACAAAGTTAAAGATTATACGATAAAGATTTTTTATTAGAAAAATTGATGTCAAACTACTTGCATTTCAAGTTTACTATATAGCAATGGTTGTAAATTCATTTGTATGTGTATCTTTCTCCCAAACTAACATACAGGCTTTAAATAGATAATAGACATAAAAAAGAAAAAGAAAACAGACACGGCCTAATGAGAAAAAAAAAACACAAAAAAACAACAGAGAAGTGTAATTAAAACAGTCACAACAGATTTACTAATTATATATGTAGATGCATTCAATATTTGTAGTCAGTTAAATTTAATATTTGAAGTGAATTGAATCTTAAGTGGTTCTTATTTTATTTGAAAACATCAATTTGTCATTATTCCATCAACGAAATATTTATTTATTTTAATACTTGTAGTAAAAATGTTAAATTAAAATCATAAACGAGGGTCTCAATGATAATAAACTCATCATAGATACCAGGATTTAAATTTTGTATTAACGCCAGACGCGCGTCTCGTCTACAAAAGACTCATCAGTGACGCTCGAATCCAAAAAAGCTAAAGAGGCCAAATAAAGTACGAAGTTGAAGAGCATTGAGGATCAAAATTCCTAAAAGTTTTGCCAAATACAGCTAAGGTAATCTATTCCTGAGGTAGAAAAGCCATAGTGTTTAAAAAATTCAAAGTTTTGTAAACAGTTAATTTATAAATATGACCATATCAATGATAATTCTTGTCAGCACAGAAGTGCTGACTACTGGTCTGGTGATACTCTCGGGGAATAAAAACTCCACTAGCAGTGGCATCGACCCAGTGGTTGTTAATAAACTCATCATAGATACCAGGATTTAAATTTTGTATTTACGCCAGACGCGCGTATCGTTTACAAAAGACTCATCAGTGACGCTAGAATAAAAAAAAGCTAAAAAGGCCAAATAAAGTACGAAGTTTAAGAGCATTGAGGACCAAAATTCCTAAAAGTTTTGCCAAATTCAGCTAAGGTAATCTATTCCTGAGGTAGAAAAGATGGGACTTCTTACCTGTATTCTCTAACTTTTTTAAACCATTATACCAACGCATTCAAGTATTCAATAATTCACAAAAATTTAGAAAAGAAATTGGGAATGTGTCAAAGAGACAACAACCCGACCATAGAGCAAGTATACTCTTCTCATATTTTGGCTGTCATCTACGTTCTTCTTTTGCTTCAAGATATGTTTTACCTACCAAGTACTTTTAATATCTTTCCGAGCTTGCAATGTAAGTTGCCCTCTGTATTGTTAAAGCCTTGTTCGTACACTTTTTATTATTTGTTTATGGTTTTTACACACAGTTATTATATACAACGGAACTTTCAAGGTTTGAGTTCCACAAAATAAACTATTTTGGCAAAAATGTGTGTACTAGTAGTGCAAAGTCAATACACCTTTATTTAGATTGAAAGATACTCGTTGCATTATTATCATAAAAAAGCATACAATATATCTGAAAGATAGTTGTTAGCTAAAGTCCAGTGGCAAACATCTCATTAATACTTAGTAGGAGATATGAACTCTTTGTTTAATAAACGATCAACACAGTAAAGTTAAATTTAAAAAGTGAAGTGTTTTTGTTGGTGAACCTTTATCAGAAACGTTCCTTACTATTAAGTCAGACGGGATGTAAAGAAACGTTAGACCAGGTTTAATCCATCATTTTCTGCTTAAGAAAGTGCCTATACCAAGTCAGGAATATGTCAGTTGTTTTCCGTTCGTTTGATGTGTTTGAGTTTTTGATTTTGTCATTTGATAAGGAACTTTCCCTTTTGAATTATCCTTGGAGTTCGGTATTTTTGTTATTTTACCTTTTGCCTGTTTGTACATTTTATAAGGATTTGATTTACTTCTCCCAGGTTCGTAAACACTTTTTTGATGTGGTTTTGTTTATTTGAAAATTACGCGTAGCTACGTCGCCACTGTTTTGCCTTTTCCACTTGCCTTCTTCGTGCCATTTTAGTTTTGTTTAAAGAGCTTCAAATTCGTTTTCAATTTAAAACACATTGCACTTTATTAGTACGGAACCATTCTCATATTTAGATACGATTTTAATTTGGTTTTTTTAAATATTCTGAAGACGTCATTGTTAGCAGTTAATATTTAACATATTGCACCAATTAAAATCCTTATTCCAATATTTTTTTTTTTTTTTACTTTCAATCATCTTTAAAGGAAGTGAAGCAAATGACCCTTTAGTTTATTTCATACCATTTTTTTTCAATCTGCATGAAATCACAATACAGCTAATTTATATTTGTACTTTAAGATTCAAACAAAAGCATGACTTACTTATAAACAGATCATCAAATTGTAAACGCCTGAAGATAAATCCAAAGCGTAGTAATTTTCACAGATTTTAGCAATTTTTGCGTATTTATCTAAAAATATATCAAAAAGATATTCTTAATAAAAACCAAAACATTTTTTTTATAATGTTTTTTTTTTTGGCAAAAATGCATATCTCTGTGATAAAAAAGCTTTAATATTCCGAAAAAATCAAAGTGATGTAAACAGTTAATTTATATTTATGACCTTATCAATGATAATTCTTGTCATGAAAGTATCGTTGTTGTGTTTACTACAACTTATAAGTTCAATTCATCAGCAGAACAGAATCGCACTTTATTGTAACGATAAATGTTGTCCATGGCTATCGGAATTTAATTGAATTTTGATGTGAATTAATCAACCGAAGGTCGTCTTTATTAGAATATAAACAGCCAATAATCATTAATGATGAACTGTGAAAGTTTAAACATTAGCATACAGTATATTATGGAAATTGTCTCGACAGTTTAAGGTCATTCTCCATGCGGAAACACTCAATATATAATCCTAGTGTTAACTTTGAAACACATTTGTTAGACTTTGTTTCATGTGCTATGTGGATACAGAGACTTTTAGACGTCTATAGGAGCTGATAACTTACAACTAAACACTAAAGAGCAACTACAAACAACGTACTAATATATATGAAATATTTCTGAGGTTAAATAAATACTTATTATTGAAAAAGCTTTTAACTGCGAGTGTTTTGACAATAGTTTTATTGAAAAAATGCCGGACATGAAGAGTTTCATTTGGATTTACAAGCTCAAATGTTATTCAATTTGTAAAATACCATAAAATATTATCAATACTTTTTTTGAAAAATACCAGATCATATAATACATACATTTCGGTATGGTTTGGAACGTGTTTGCCGATCTATCTATTTCTTTCATTAGGCTCTTGGTCGGAATACAGATTTTTTGGTATTATGCTGAATCTACTAAAATTGAAATAGGAAAGTTTAGGACGTATAAGAACATGAAAATAGCACCATCTATTAGTTCCACAGAAGAACATATTGATAGGTCTCACATGGAATGTAGTCGGCGGTTACTCAGTAAAGATGACATTTGTGTCGCAAGTTATAATACTGTAACACGCACGTGCATGTTGTATGCTTACGGTTGCTCTCCGTCATTCAATGTGTCAAATACAGGAACGTGCTTAATACGCAGAGATTTGTCAGGTAAGTCTTTAAATAGTAAAATAAAGATTACACAAAGAACAGCAAGATAAGCTGTATTTCCTTTAGCTGTTGGTAATCACCATTATGTAGAATTGAGAATGGAAACGGGGAATGTGTCAAAGAGACAACTTCCCGTCCAAAGAGCAGAAGACATCCCTAGGCCACCAATGGGTCTTCAACGCAGCGAGAAAATTCCGCACCCGGATGCGGGTTTCAGCTGACCCCTAAACAATGTTATCTCTACTTTATTTCATGAATATTCACCACATGCTCTTTCATTTCAAATGAGAAGCACTATTTGATTTTAGCTATAGGGGTTGGGGGATTTTTTAAAGTGAACATTCCGCTCTAGTAGAAACTAAAAACTAATCATCTTGCCCATGACATGATGTAAATGAATAGTTTGCCCCACAAAATACAGGAAATAATGGTTATCAAAAACAAAAATAAAATGGTGCACGGGTAGTAAAATATATTTAAGTTATTAGTTATGGTTCTAAGTTAAGGGAGTATGAAAAGCGTTAGTTTAGTTTTCTTGTCTCTTAGATTCATACTAAGAACACTACAGCTAGATTATTAGGATCAATGAACATTAAACGCTAAAACGTTGGCAACAAATTATTTTATAAAAGAAGAATTGTAAAGAAATAGTACACGGGAGTTCCAATTTCTGAATATTTGATTACTCTCCTAAAGCTAGGTCTGATGTTGGACTCAGGCGTGACGGTGATGACCTTGAAATGGATTGCATTTTTTTTCAATGTCATTTCATTAATTTACGGATATCCTTAGCTTTTAGTGCGGGCAAAATGTTAACAGAATATTTTATAATAAAAGGTTGACACGAAACAGCACTTAGTATATGCAGTGAAGCCAAAATAGTATTTAAGGCTCACTTGTTTTACTTGAAGAAAGTAGTTATAATAATGAAGTCATATTTGAAATTGCATAATGCAATTGCAGTTAACCTTTAGGAAAAACTAGTACGGTATAGTTATTAAAAAGCAAAATAACAAAACTACCGAACTCCAAGGAAAAATCAAAACGGAAAGCCCCTGATAAAATTTAAAAAGCTCAAACACATCACACGAAAAGAAAACAACTGTCAAATTTCTGACTTAGAACAGGCATTTCCTTATGAAGTGGTGGATTAAACCTGGTTTTATAGCTAGCTAAACCTCTTACTTGTATGGCAGTCGAAACACTGGAGATCTTCAGTTTATAAATTTTCCCTTGATCTCGCAACGCTTGAAACTGATTTGTAGGTGCTGAGCTTTGTTTTCAATACTACGAAGTAATGGATTTGTTCCGTAATACAATACCTATTAGACGACAAACAAAAATCAGAACATAAAAGAAATAAAATAAAACCTCCACAGACACGATTAAACACTTTGAAGAATGATTAAACACTTGAAAGAAATGATTAAACACTTGAGAGATATGATTAAACATTGGAAAGAAATGTAATGATCACTTAAATAAATTGATTTGTCTCACCAAACTAGAAAATATTTTGTAAGAGTTAATGTTTGTCAATAGCATGATAAAGATTTCCAATTATTTAATGTGCCTAAAAAGAAACAAATACAGAGTAATACATTTGGATACGTTTTTTTTTCATCAGAAAATATGATCCGGTCAACTAATAAAAATGATCTCCGTCAGCTTGAAATGAATAAAAAGCCTGTCCTCCGCCCAAAAAACTCCAACAAAACCAAAATATAAGAAACAAAACAAAACGAAATCAATCAAACAAACAAACTGGAATAATCATAATAAATCCTCTTATATTATACTTTAAAGAAAGTTACTCTTCACTGTCTACCCTGGAAAAAAAAGTAGTGGTTTTTATTATTGATACACACTTTTTTTTGCAATAATAACATTACATTTAAATAACACATTGCTAAAGTTTCAATTGTTAGTAACATTTAACTTACTATCGATTGTCCAATTATATTGGAGCCTACTGTATTGTTACAATCGTGTACAAACATCTCTATTCGACATTCGTCAAACCAAATGGGGTCGTAGCAGCGTTCTCGCCTTGATTGCAGGAGGTCGCGGGTTTGAGTCCCTGGCGACCCAAACCAAAGACTTTGAAAATTGGTAATGGCTGCTTCTCTGCTAAGCACACGGCATTTAGCAGTCAAAGTAAAGACTGGTCGACTCTTAGTAAAGTTAATGATTCCGGGTAGGGTGACATGTTATATCCAATGACCTACACTTTGATGACTAATCTAGTGAATAATAAAGATTATATAACATTTTAATTGAAAAACATGAAGTATCAATATATCGATCATTTCTTATAATTTTATTTCTATGAATAATTGTTGAACTTTCTTTTTAAAACAATTTGAATCCATTCTTTTGGTACAAATTGCTTTAATTAATAATCAAATCCAGTTTATCTTACACTTCAATTTGTTTAAAATATAGTTTTCTGATAATGGCATAGTGTCATCAAAAATGTCATTTGATTCTTTCATAACAGTCTAATCCAGTTTTTCATGTTTTTTGATCAATAATTAAATGTCACAAATGTATTCCCCTATATTATTTGTTTTCTCATATTGACACTTGTAACTGGATGATTCGTTCTCCAACTCCGATGAAATTCCTGAACTTTATTCTTTTCTATAAACTTCTGGAAACTTTACAAAAAAAAAAAAGAAAAAAAAAAAAAACAACGTTCGAATATTTTTTTTAACAGGTCACATACGAACTCCTGGAGAAAATGGCCTTTACATTTCAACAGGAAAAACGTCCAAATTCCGATCGAACGCGGCTGCTTATTCACAGTACTTTAGCAAGGGTTTTTAAGGGATGACCATATTTCTATATGCTATTTAACTATAATAAAAAATCTGAAAATCAAGGAGACATCATTCAATATATTGTTATTATTTGGCGATGAAATTGTTACAAAATAATAAATGCAGCTTTTTTGAATGAACAATGTGAACAAGATTTTGAATGTTGACGATATTTGATAAAAAAAAAAGGGAAAAAGTCCCACGGGAAAAATGAAAAAAGCAGTGCAATAAAAACAGATCACATCATGTTAAAAAAAAAAATAATCATCAATAAAGTTCGGGGTGAACTCAACTGCTCCGAAAGAGTAAGTTCCTGCGATTAAGAATCCGGTATTAAGTCAAAATCAAGAGAAGAAAACTAAGTGGTGGTAACGACAAATGGAACATATCCGTGATCATAATTGATGATGACTGGAAACATAAGCCCTACGCTATTAATGGGGAGAGACATTTATTCCTTGCATAGTGCTTCTCAGAAATGGAATTTTCACAAGGAGAAAATTGAAACCATCTCTTTTGTTGTAATGTAAAATTCGTAACCGACCTAGAATATGAATTTCTAGATCTTAGTTAAGAAATGAGACAGAGACTCGACTGCATCTGTGGACTTAATTCATTATCCACATCTGATTCAAACCACCACTAGAGCAGGTAATTCGCAGTAACTTTGAAGTTCGTCTTTAATTTCAACCCCGTGTGTGAAGAACATTATATAATCTGGGTATCCAGTATTGAAAAAAAATCCAATTATTAATCTTAAATTATAATTTCAAAGAAACAAAATACAGATGTATGATTTTGAAGATTTCGTCTTTTGTTTGTGTCATGGGAGCATTTGTTTGGTTTTCTGTCAAATTGGCAACATCGGATTCATTTATCGAACCGTTTATATAATGCAAATTTCAAACAAAACGATCTTGTGTTGCACTTTATACGCGAGGACAACATATATGAAACGGAGGTAGGACAGTGCATAGCATCATTTTGTTACAATCGTGTACAAACATCTCTATTCGACATTCGTCAAACCAAATGGGGTCGTAGCAGCGTTCTCGCCTTGATTGCAGGAGGTCGCAGGTTTGAGTCCCTGGCGACCCAAACCAAAGACTTTGAAAATTGGTAATGGCTGCTTCTCTGCTAAGCACATGGCATTTAGCAGTCAAAGTAAAGACTGGTCGACTCTTAGTAAAGTTAATGATTCCGGGTAGGGTGACATGTTATATCCAATGACCTACACTTTGATGACTAATCTAGTGAATAATAAAGATTATATAACATTTTAATTGAAAAACATGAAGTATCAATATATCGATCATTTCTTATAATTTTAATATTATGAATAATTGTTGAACTTTCTTTTTAAAACAATTTGAATCCATTCTTGTGGTACAAATTGCTTTAATTAATAATCAAATCCAGTTTATCTTACACTTCAATTTGTTTAAAATATAGTTTTCTGATAATGGCATAGTGTCATCAAAAATGTCATTTGATTCTTTCATAACAGTCTAATCCAGTTTTTCATGTTTTTTGATCAATAATTAAATGTCACAAATGTATTCCCCTATATTATTTGTTTTCTCATATTGACACTTGTAACTGGATGATTCGTTCTCCAACTCCGATGAAATTCCCGAACTTTATTCTTTTCTATAAACTTCTGGAAACTTTACAAAAAAAAAAAAAGAAAAAAAAAAAACAACGTTCGAATATTTTTTTTAACAGGTCACATACGAACTCCTGGAGAAAATGGCCTTTACATTTCAACAGGAAAAACGTCCAAATTCCGATCGAACGCGGCTGCTTATTCACAGTACTTTAGCAAGGGTTTTTAAGGGATGACCATATTTCTATATGCTATTTAACTATAATAAAAAATCTGAAAATCAAGGAGACATCATTCAATATATTGTTATTATTTGGCGATGAAATTGTTACAAAATAATAAATGCAGCTTTTTTGAATGAACAATGTGAACAAGATTTTGAATGTTGACGATATTTGATAAAAAAAAAGGGAAAAAGTCCCACGGGAAAAATGAAAAAAGCAGTGCAATAAAAACAGATCACATCATGTTAAAAAAAAATAATCATCAATAAAGTTCGGGGTGAACTCAACTGCTCCAAAAGGGTAAGTTCCTGCGATTTAGAATCCGGTATTAAGTCAAAATCAAGAGAA